GAAAATGGTGCCACAGAACTTTCGGTTCAACCTAATAGTTTTCAAACAAAGTGAAAGCTTCGTTAGACTGCTGACATCCTGGCAATTCAAAATGTGTGCCAAAATTTCGAAAATGTTTTATTTGAGCTGTCCCGTCGTATTTGCTTTGTTTTTTAAACTTATGTTCAAGAAGCTTAACGCACTGCGTTAACTTTCTTGAACGTAAGTTTCGATTCACCAGTATATTTTTGGATTTCTGGCAGACATGACTTGGAGGTGCTTCGGAAATTTAGAAAAGCTTTTGCACAAAGCCTTCAGTGGTTATTTAGAACGTTTACATCAAATTCAGGTCAATTTTACGAAAATTTCGGCAAATCACAAAATTTGTTTTGAAAATCCATAGCAACGAGCATTGCGGTGTTTCTTTAACAACCTCAAAATATCAGCTATGATGCAGGCTGATTTAACCCCTCAAGAACGACTTAACTCGCAAAAAAGTGCCGAATTCAAGGTTTCATAACTTTCAAAGCTATTTACTTGTGTCAAATGACTTTGTTATTGATTGAGTACAAGGGCTTTTCTTGCGATTTCTAAGATAAATGCGCTTGAACTAAGGATGCCTTCATACCGCGCCGGCAGCCACTGCTAGCCGCCCGTAGCCGCTTTTGCGCACTACCCTGGTATTTCAAAGCCTTTCCAAAAAGTTAAAGGATTATGCTGTTTGTAATGAATTTGCCGGATAACCGCACTAAACAAGTTTGAGCAAGATTTGTGGTTTCGTTATTGGGATCCGGATACTGGAATAGTGCTCAAAGACGGCTAGGGCGGCTGCCGGCGCGGTATGAAGGCACCCTAAGCTGCGCATTGCTTCATTGTCAGTCTGGTGCCATTTTATCAAGACCGTAATGCAGACGATCGGTCGGTGATTAACTATTGCCCGACATTGAGGAATTTCATTTTAAAACACATGATTCGGAGATAAGAACTCTCTGATGATTGGCGAAAAAGTGCCGATGTCAGCGATAATTTCTCAAAAATTTTAGCAGATCCAGTCATCCTAGACTACATACTTTGCACATATCAATCTAAGCAAAAAATGCTTCCCGAAAATGTATAAATCAGAAATCCGTACATCACTGAAAATAAGTCGCATTTTTACCTTTTTCTCTATTATGACTGCCAAATTTGATTGGATACGGTTGCACCCAGGTTTGGGCGCAGGTACATGTGCACTTGGCAGATCTTCGTATAGGTGCTGCTCAGCTTGAGAGGACCCAAAGAATTTAGAGTATTCCGATTTCGTTTTCGAAGTACCCGTGAAAAATACCCATTTGATCTGAGCACAATGATGGTACAGAAATAGTCAGAATTATATTTCCCCTACAGTTTCCATCCTCATGATGTATTCGATAGTTTGGTTTTTCGGTTGATCATGAAACTTTTGCTGGACTGAAATCATGAGTTCGAAGCCAAGATTTCAAAATATGACTGAAATGCTCCGATGTGAAGAATTTCGATATTTCATGAAATGGCACAGGTGTACAGTGTTTCCGAGTTAACTGCAAAATGCATATTGAGTCATGACGCCTAAGGCTTTCTGATTTAAGAAATTTCGAAGCAAATTCAAACAGTCGCTGCCGTCTCCTGTTCTGCTCAAAAATCTTGAGCGCAAAGCGATTGGAGAGTTTTTTTATAAAGGAAGAATAGACTTAGTACCGTACAACCAGAAAAATCGGAGCTGTCTTCGTGAAAACTCAAAAACAAAAAAAAACATGTATTTTTGCTTCGTCAAAGAAATCGATAAAAATGAGTACTTTCAAATTTTTTGAAACTGTTAGCGGAAATTTTTCTTCGTTAAAATCCAGCTCAGCAGAGCCGATTATAGGCTACATAATGAGTGAATTTCGCACTATATTACTATAATATATTCAAAGTAGATTTTGGTTCCTTAAAGTGAGGTTTTCTAAGAGAACTGGGAAAGTTTGGTCTATAAGGTTTTTTTCGGTGGAGCTGCACCAACACAATAGTGCATACTGAATTGTCAAGGATTTGCTAATTGCAATGGTTTTTATTGCAAATGGAAAGACTTTTTGTGCAAAAAGTTATAGTGATTCAAAGTCGAAATTTAAGAAACCTGCACTGATTAACTAACAACCTAAAACCTCAATTTACCCAATAAGACAGTTTCCAGCTCTCTTTCACATAACTCTTGGAAAAGCTCTTACTGAACAGTTAATTTTTAATCACACTAGGTCGAAGCCAGATAGCTTTACGGGGTGGGTCAAAACAAACTCTAAAAAATGGTGCTAGAAGAAACCACTGAGAAATACAAGAAACTTGTGTCATAAAAGGCACTAATCAGTCTCTACAAAATGCGTCTTACGGACTAGAAAAGAACTCTTTTCAAGAACGTGAGAAGTAAAAGAATCAGAGCAGCATCAAGAAAAGCGAAAATGGGATTTTTATACCTTTATAATTTGCTCTGTAACTGAATGAACTCAAAGCCTTTCTGGACCCTTCCGAACTGGTCTGTAGAGCACATTTTGCACTATCACATAGGCCTAGTTGCATTTGCAAAATTTGTTCCTTCTTGAATTAGGAGAATGTGTTTGCGAAAAATATTACCTGCGTACAGCACTGACCTTGTGTTCAAAATCGATTATTGAGGCTCCGGACATGCAAAACTTTCCAGGTGAAAAACAGTTCTCTATTTATGAGACATGTAGAAGAGTATCTATCATAATCGATTAGTTAGAATGTTTTTAGAGGAGGCATTATCAGACCCTAAGGCACAGTCGTGAAGGCCAAAACTACACCAATTTTCGGTATGCTGCCTCTCAAGCATTTTTTCGAAAAAATCAAAAATCCCTTTCGAAGTAATTTTCAAACTTCCCTTAGCTATTAGAGAAGCTTGCTCTACTTCGTGCGCAGTTACAGAGCAAGAGGAAAGGTTATCAAAAAGATGTTATGTAAATTCTTAAAGTCACGCTTGCGTATAGAGTACACTTCATGGCGAGAGGAATTGAGATTTTTTTTCGAAAGGTAAAACAGTCAAATTTTGATTTGACTATTGCATCACGATAATGATGGTTGGGAAAATGAATGAATACTTGATCCGTCTTCAAGCCAGTCTAGTACCTTTTTGGTACTCAAAGAAACGCGCGCCAGTAATTTTGGCGCACCTTGTAAAATACTGTGCTTAAAGGACTGCGAAAGCTTTTTACTATGCAAGAGCAGTAACTGAACTTCAGATCTTCATATTTTTAGCAACACTTTCCTATAGAAGCACTTCTTAGAATTTCGTCGCTCAGAAATCGTCTTGCTCACTCGATGTCATCAGTCTGCTTCGATAATTTGCAACAAGTTTAATTCAAAGCGTTTTATTATTTAGCCATTCGCTGTATCGATTGCTATAATCATACTTGTAATAAAAACTGCTATGCAAAATAATCAGGTCTATAACGGCAACAGCCCCGCGCAGTGCATCTTATATATAAAGCTGAATGTCTGTTTGTCTGTCTGTATGTATGTGTGTACGTATGTTCCGAATAGAAAATTCCATTTCTGAACCGATCCGGACCAAACTTGGCACACATACACTTCGGGCCCCGGCGCGTGTCACAGTCCACTTTTCGTTATCGATCGATGTCGATTTTACCGATTTTTATCGATTTTTTTGCAGAGTTCACCTACAGGGCTAGGAGTTGGCACAGGGGGGGAAGTGAGCATGGGGATTCCGAATACAACATTAGTTTTCAGGATCGTCCATTACTTTTATCGATTTTATCGATTTTTTTTTGTAAAGTTTGACCTGCGGGGCTGGGAGTTTGCACAGGGAAGTAATCGAGCATGCTGATTACGAACACAATATTAGTTTTCAGGATCGTCCATTACTTTTATCGATTTTATCGATTTTTTTGTAAAGTTTGACCTGCGGGGCTGGGAGTTTGCACAGGGGGGTAATCGAGCATGCAGATTACGAACACAATATTAGTTTTCAGGATCGTCCATTACTTTTTCGATTTTATCGATTTTTTGAAAATTTGAGCTAGGGGGCTGGAATTTGGCACAGGAGTGTAATCGAGCATGCTGATCACCCCCCTTGGGGGTGATCAGCATGCTCGATTACCCCCCTGTGCCAACTCCCAGCCCCCTACCTCAAACTTTGCAAAAAATCGATAAAATCGATAATAGTAATCGATAATCCCGAAAACCAATATTGTATTCGGAATCCCCATGCTCGATTATCCCCCTGTGCGAACTCCCAGCCCCGTAGCTCAAACTTTGCAAAAAAATCGATAAAATCGATAAAAGTAATCGATAACCCTGAAAACCAATATTGTATTCGGAATCCCCATGCTCGATTACCCCCCTGTGCCAACTCCCAGCCCCCTAGCTCAAACTTTGCAAAAAAATCGATAAAATCGATAAAAGTAATCGATAATCCTGAAAACCAATATTGTATTCGGAATCCCCATGCTCGATTACCCCCCTGTGCCAACTCCCAGCCCCGTAGGTGAACTCAGCAAAAAAATCGATAAAAATCGATAAAATCGATATCGATCGATGACGAAAAGTAGCCTATGACACCCGCCGGAGCCCGTAGTGTATGTGTACCAAGTTTGGTCCGGATCGGTTCAGAAATGGAATTTTCTATTCGGAACATACGTACAGACATACAGACAGACAGACAGACAGACATACATACAAACAGACATTCAGCTTTATATATAAGATTCGAAGAACCGTGACGATGGCGCGACCGCGCGCGACACGCACGCCCTCCCTGCAACCGCATTTCTTTACTAGAATGATTCCTCTGCTTACATAGGATAGCATTTAGACATGATGCTTTTTTTGTATAAGCGTTTCTGCTCCTGTGGGCGCAAAGACCGCAACCAAATCCATCGTCACGATTTTATGAGTGATCTATAGTTTCTTTCACAGTACACCTTTCCCTTTTTATTGATAGTGTTGATGATAAGCTTTTTTAGCTGCAAATACATTCTTCTATGAAATCCATGACGAAATCGATTAGTTAGTGATTGACAGAAAATTAAGGGAAATAGAACAATAAATTTTTGGCAATACACTCATTTAAAAAGAACAAAACAGGAAAAGTTACAAACGACTTTTTCAACGTAAAAAAGTAGTCGATAAATGATCCATTCAACAGCAAACAGTTCCCAATTATAATAATAGTTTTCCTAAAACAATGAAAAAAACTACGAAAACATTTAATGCTGCGCTGGATCCAGGAGTTGGTTGCAAAGGTATTGTAATAGTTATCGGTGTAGTCGTCGTTGTTGTGATAGGTTCAAACCCTCCAATTCCTAGAATTTTTTTTCGTAAATTGCCTCTCAAATTCAAACATTGTCAAAAATTACTATTTTCGCATAATTGTCCGTAGTATCCTGTAGCGCAAAGACAAACAGTCATCGATCTCGTGGCACCATTTCGGCAAGGAGGTAGATCACAGAATTGGCCCGAGTAACCATCAGCACAAACACATTCTCCATACATGTTGGCTTGTCCGTGATTGCAGACACTCGCTGTAATTAGAGCTGATTTTATTATTTTAAATTCTCAAGAAGAGATGCATACTCAATGGGACTTTTATTTGTCACAAATTCTGGATTGCTTCGAAGCTACAGCATTACAACATAATTTTTCACTAGAATTTCATGGCTACAGCATTACAACATAATTTTTCACTAGAATTTCATGCAAACATATTTTTGAACCCCAATGAGTGTATGGCTTTCTTTATCTCTAAATATAATTTTTTTTTGAATCAGAACAAGCTCGAGGTGCATTGTGGCTCAACGTTATGACTAAACTGTAAGATACAGTAAAAATCGATTTTACCCATAGTTTTACTGGGATACGGTAGTTGGACTGAAAAGCTCTCATGAGGTCATCTGACTTCTCTAGCCCACTCAACGGTCCGATAGGCAGTCTGTTATCCCATCGAAGTCAAAGAATGTAGAAGTTTAGTCGGCTTTGACAAAAGTAAGATTTCAGTATTTCAGCTCAAAAACTGCAGAAAATTATGTATTGTTGAATTCTCAACTACCAGGCTCGATAGTACAGAACTACACAACTAAGTGAACTTATCTAACAAACGAAGCAGATCGGCCTTTTTACACTGCTACCGTATCCCAACATATGAGATGCACGAATACTGAGGTGGGCTACGAATGAAAACCAAATTTGTAGGGAATTTTTTATGCAAAAAGCGCCGCAATAAAATTATCTAGGGCAGCTACAAGCCACAGCAGATACTGTAAGGGTGCAAAAGTGCCCACACTCATTAAATTATCAGCTAAATGAGTAGACGTCATCAAAGTTTGTCGTATTACTGGGCTAATGGCGAAGTGAATGCTAAATGCCTGTTGAATGACGTAAGGGGACGCTTTTCAGGTTTTCTATTTTTGTATATAGGCAATTCAACGCATGCAAAGACAGGACGTCACTATGGATGCTGTTGGCGTCTCGCTGATCGAGGGGTGATCAGCATGCTCGATTACCCCCCTGTGCCAACTCCCAGCCCCCTACCTCAAACTTTGCAAAAAATCGATAAAATCGATAATAGTAATCGATAATCCCGAAAACCAATATTGTATTCGGAATCCCCATGCTCGATTATCCCCCTGTGCGAACTCCCAGCCCCGTAGCTCAAACTTTGCAAAAAAATCGATAAAATCGATAAAAGTAATCGATAACCCTGAAAACCAATATTGTATTCGGAATCCCCATGCTCGATTACCCCCCTGTGCCAACTCCCAGCCCCCTAGCTCAAACTTTGCAAAAAAATCGATAAAATCGATAAAAGTAATCGATAATCCTGAAAACCAATATTGTATTCGGAATCCCCATGCTCGATTACCCCCCTGTGCCAACTCCCAGCCCCGTAGGTGAACTCAGCAAAAAAATCGATAAAAATCGATAAAATCGATATCGATCGATGACGAAAAGTAGCCTATGACACCCGCCGGAGCCCGTAGTGTATGTGTACCAAGTTTGGTCCGGATCGGTTCAGAAATGGAATTTTCTATTCGGAACATACGTACAGACATACAGACAGACAGACAGACAGACATACATACAAACAGACATTCAGCTTTATATATAAGATTCGAAGAACCGTGACGATGGCGCGACCGCGCGCGACACGCACGCCCTCCCTGCAACCGCATTTCTTTACTAGAATGATTCCTCTGCTTACATAGGATAGCATTTAGACATGATGCTTTTTTTGTATAAGCGTTTCTGCTCCTGTGGGCGCAAAGACCGCAACCAAATCCATCGTCACGATTTTATGAGTGATCTATAGTTTCTTTCACAGTACACCTTTCCCTTTTTATTGATAGTGTTGATGATAAGCTTTTTTAGCTGCAAATACATTCTTCTATGAAATCCATGACGAAATCGATTAGTTAGTGATTGACAGAAAATTAAGGGAAATAGAACAATAAATTTTTGGCAATACACTCATTTAAAAAGAACAAAACAGGAAAAGTTACAAACGACTTTTTCAACGTAAAAAAGTAGTCGATAAATGATCCATTCAACAGCAAACAGTTCCCAATTATAATAATAGTTTTCCTAAAACAATGAAAAAAACTACGAAAACATTTAATGCTGCGCTGGATCCAGGAGTTGGTTGCAAAGGTATTGTAATAGTTATCGGTGTAGTCGTCGTTGTTGTGATAGGTTCAAACCCTCCAATTCCTAGAATTTTTTTTCGTAAATTGCCTCTCAAATTCAAACATTGTCAAAAATTACTATTTTCGCATAATTGTCCGTAGTATCCTGTAGCGCAAAGACAAACAGTCATCGATCTCGTGGCACCATTTCGGCAAGGAGGTAGATCACAGAATTGGCCCGAGTAACCATCAGCACAAACACATTCTCCATACATGTTGGCTTGTCCGTGATTGCAGACACTCGCTGTAATTAGAGCTGATTTTATTATTTTAAATTCTCAAGAAGAGATGCATACTCAATGGGACTTTTATTTGTCACAAATTCTGGATTGCTTCGAAGCTACAGCATTACAACATAATTTTTCACTAGAATTTCATGGCTACAGCATTACAACATAATTTTTCACTAGAATTTCATGCAAACATATTTTTGAACCCCAATGAGTGTATGGCTTTCTTTATCTCTAAATATAATTTTTTTTTGAATCAGAACAAGCTCGAGGTGCATTGTGGCTCAACGTTATGACTAAACTGTAAGATACAGTAAAAATCGATTTTACCCATAGTTTTACTGGGATACGGTAGTTGGACTGAAAAGCTCTCATGAGGTCATCTGACTTCTCTAGCCCACTCAACGGTCCGATAGGCAGTCTGTTATCCCATCGAAGTCAAAGAATGTAGAAGTTTAGTCGGCTTTGACAAAAGTAAGATTTCAGTATTTCAGCTCAAAAACTGCAGAAAATTATGTATTGTTGAATTCTCAACTACCAGGCTCGATAGTACAGAACTACACAACTAAGTGAACTTATCTAACAAACGAAGCAGATCGGCCTTTTTACACTGCTACCGTATCCCAACATATGAGATGCACGAATACTGAGGTGGGCTACGAATGAAAACCAAATTTGTAGGGAATTTTTTATGCAAAAAGCGCCGCAATAAAATTATCTAGGGCAGCTACAAGCCACAGCAGATACTGTAAGGGTGCAAAAGTGCCCACACTCATTAAATTATCAGCTAAATGAGTAGACGTCATCAAAGTTTGTCGTATTACTGGGCTAATGGCGAAGTGAATGCTAAATGCCTGTTGAATGACGTAAGGGGACGCTTTTCAGGTTTTCTATTTTTGTATATAGGCAATTCAACGCATGCAAAGACAGGACGTCACTATGGATGCTGTTGGCGTCTCGCTGATCGAGACGACCGCTCTTTCACCCCTCTTGCCGTCTGTCGTCTCTCCCATGCACGAACTATCTTAATCGCACGCAACGGCGTCCAGTCTGTGTGCGCGATAAATCGCCTATAAAAGTTTAAAGAATAGATTATGAATATTCACCAAATACATTGATTTGCTCGAAGTAAAAGGTCCTTTGATACCATGCACTCGTTGAAGTATGCCCGGAAACCTCCATTCTAACTAGATTAGAAGTCGGCATCTGAAATTTTGTACAGCTTGCCGCATATATTGCTAGACGAGACCTACCTCAACATTTTTTTCAGAGATGTACTGATAGGAACAGGATGCAGTGTCTCTCGGAAGCGCTTGAACGGACTGCAACGATGTCGCGTCCGTCCATGGATTTGCGACATCACCTGGTCCGATGCTGATTTGGTCTACAGTATAGGAATTGTTTGGAACACGTAGTACTGTATAAGCATGGTGGTCGCTTCCTGGAATAAACGGTTGGGATAGAAACTTGCAAAAAATATGTTACTGCTTGCCTCTTGTAGAAAACGGTGATTCAGCTGGATAATCATTGGACATGATGGAGGTGAATCCTGGGATTACCGTAAGTGGAGATACAGCTCGCACCTTTAAAAATAATTTTATAAGGATGAGAGCAACACAAATATTCTGGAAAGGGGGGGGGAGTCATTATATAAAACTTTTAGAATTCTTGATCACATCAATCCAAAAATTTACTTTGACGAGACCTAGGAAAATTTTCAGAGTCCTCTCAAAGGCTTTGCGTTCCCATGTCTTCAGCACCCCCCCCCTCCCCTCCATACCGCCCAGTGATTTTTCTATGTATAATCATCATGCTTTCAATAGATTATTTTGTTGCACTTGAGCGAAAAAGGCTTTATAACTTCCTGAAAAGACATTTTCTCATTTTCAGATTACATGGAATCTTTAGCTCTTCGATGTAAGCATGCCGTACATAAGAATTTCAATTTGTAAGCTTTTGAAATTTTTCAGGTTTTTTTGGCAAACTTCCAACTCCGTTACTGAATAACCTAGACTTCCGAACTGTTTTTATATTAGTACCGATACTTCTGTAAATCTATAAAAACTCTGAGAACATTAGAAATGAGAGGGAGAAAATTTTTGGAAGAAAATAAAAAATAGAGTCCACAGAATGGCGTTTACATGTATTGTAACCCTTATCCGTAAGGGTAAATATAATACCAATGGATAGCTCTTTGTCCGATCCTTATATGTGGCATATATCAAACTTTGGAAGTTCCTAGAATTTTTTAGGACATAACGAAGAAAGTATAACAAAACTTATGTTACGACCTAATACTATGATACTACCTAATACTACTCATCTGATCGTTTTTAAAGAATTTCGTTACCCTTTCTCAAGGAATGGTAAAGGATAGGAAACCTTGACGCTGGGCGATAGATGTTACCTATAAAAGGCATACCTGCACAAAACATGGTCCGCTGGTCGTTCTCACTGATAATGACCATGGTGTTGCACGGTACTGTGTTTTATTCAAACCTTAAAATTTTAATTTGTCAAAAGAGTTTTGGAAAAAAGACGTCACAAGGAATTAGTCGCTTTTCCCGACATTACTTCTAACAATAAGTAACTTCTGTACTCGAATTTTTTTCTTGCTAAGAATGCACAGAATGTTCTAACTCAGACAATTCATCGAAACTTCCACAGGACAAGCAAAATTTGCAGCGGTCCCGCAGAATTTTGTTCACTGCTGCCAAAGTGGAAACGTTAAAACTTTAAACTTTCGCTACCAGGCTCTGCGGAACTTCCGAAAAATGCCAGCGGTTCTGCAGCACTCTGTCATGCCAGAACTTCAGCAAATTTTGGAATGTGTTGTCTTTTAGGATTTGACTCGCAAACAATCAGAATGGATTGTCGATCACGTCATCCGTAGTGCTGAGGATAGTAAGTGAATCTCTCAGATAGCAGAGTAAAGTTCGAATCTCGCTTAGGTGTTCTCTTTTACTGTTGTGGTTCGCATACGTCGAATTCCGCAGCACCTCATTTGAGAATTTCCGCATCACTTTACGAAACTTCCGCAGGTGACTCATCGAACTTCCTCAAACGTTCTACGGAAGTTCCGGTCAGTTGTCCGAAAATTTTTGACAGAGGTAAGCATGCAGAATTTCGATGCTAAAAGCTTTCTATATTTGTTGCATATTCTCGACTAACAAACAAAGTTGCAAAATAGACAAAGGTAACTGTTGGTAATGGCTTGTATACGTGATGCCGTCCATTAAAGAAGAGAAATTTCGGAACCGTCAAGCAAATAGAATTTAAAATTTCTGAGGTTTTCGTGATTTATATCACAAAATTTTCTCCCGCTACGTTAAAGGCAGTGACTCAGCAAAATAGCGACGGGGGACTTTTCACAACTACATGGCCTTCCGGACCAGCTGAGTCAGGTACTGTGCTTGAAATGTCAAAAAAGTGTGTTTTTTTTTTGGAGTTTACCGGCCTTGCAGATGCTGGAGAGGCGGAGCGAGGGATTCCCGCAATAACCAGCAAGTGGCTGCAGGATACTGTAACTTCACCTATTTTGGCACCAATTGGCTGGTCAGTCCAGGCAATCAATACGATACATTTGACGGTAATCCCTCGCCCCGCCTCTCCAGCAATCTTCAAGGTCGGAAAACGTCAAAAAACAAACACTTTTTATGACTTTTAAGCATAGTACCTGACTCAGCTGGTCCAGGAGGCCATGTAGTTGTGCAAAGCCCCCACTCGCGATTTTTCCGAGCCACTGCTTTTAACCTTCGATAAACAGCACACGGACAGGTTCAAGTTGCCCTTTGCCGGCACTGTGCTAGGTGTTTGGCGCTGTACTAGCGCTGTATCGGAACTCATATCGCGCCCTGTATTGATAAATCGACGCTCCGGTGTGACGTTAGCACGGCGGCAAAGCGGTTGCACGGCGCTGGCACGGAAAACTATAGCGCAGACAGACCCCAAATTTTCATTTTGTCCAGAAACTTTGCTTAGAAGATTTTTTTTGCAGAAGGATAACTCACCTATTGACAGAGTTATGGTGTTTTGATCCATAAATGATGTGTAATCAGGAACATTAATCCGATTTCCTAAAGAATATTGAAATTGATGGTATAGGTAGAATTTTGCCGACAACAAGTCAAAGGAACTCCGTTGGTTAGATTTTTGGTTATCTCGAATCTCCTAACAACATCGTTCTTTCTCTCAGTCTAAGAGCAAATCCAATCAAATTAAAGTTTCGTAACACCAATTAAAAAACATTAGAAAGCGGGGAAGTGCGGTGCGGTCCCGAAGCGTGCAAATGCAAATCAGGGCTCGGCACAGGTGGCTTACAAGCAAACTGGATTTCGTTTTTGGGACAACAAGGTTTGGTTTTTGTGGCCGAAAAGACACAAAAATTGCGACGTTTTTTCTTTTTTAATCGACGTTTCGTTTTTTGGAGATTTTTAAGGATTATGGTCTAGGGTCAAAGGGGACTTCGTAAAAATTCGCAAAAGTGAAGGAGGATTTCGTTTCTTGCATTTTCATCTAGACACCTCGTGCCGAGCCCTGATACAAATGTAGCACCTTTGATTACTGGTTCACTTGTTTGGAAAAAAACTTACTGTTGGGATCGCTAAGAAGTACCATATTAGGAACATCTTCACCCACAATATTCAATACTAAGGTTGTGGCCTCTTCCTCAACATTGAAGATAAATGCAGCAGACGTTGAGCAATCCTGAATAGTAGCCATATCGTGTGGCGAAATTTCGAAATTCGAACTTACTTGGACTGCGCCATCATATATGAGGGCATTTTCAGTGACTGACGAAACAAGCAAAGAAGACATCTGAATAGAGAGGTTACAGATTTATCAGGTTTAGGCTGCCACATAACAAAGGCGCAATATCTTTCGGCGCGAGCGCGGCTTTATTAGCCGCAGAGCGCATAGCGCAGAATCTACAACGGTGAAGGTAGGTGCGCGTCGCTTTCGTGACCGCCCATCTTATACCGCTTCTGCGCCTTGGTCATGCAGTAGCCTCTAAACCCATTTTGTATTCGTCATCCGCTGAACATTCAGATGCAAAGAGTTCGAAACTGTGCTATACAGCTTGCAAGGAGTCCAAAAGCTTTGCAGTGGAAAAGCGAGAATGGGCCTGTTTAACACTTAGTTCTCTAAACTGCGATTAGCTAGTGCATAGTGTCTGGTAAATTTCGCCCATGTCGGCCGTGAATGGTTGAAGCCCCCCTAGCCAATCGATCTCCTTGAAGAAAAACAAAACATATCCACTACGCATTTTTCCTGAGGTGAAAAAAGCAATTTTCCATACAATAAGGCCAAAAAGTGGCGGACAAGCCGCCGTCCTTCTTTCATCGCTCGTTTTCGAATGGAAAACAAAGATGAAAAAATGATTGGATTGAATGAGATGATAGAGCTCTTCAAGAGCTACAATAGACACGCTGCGCTTTCTAAAAAATATGTATTCTAAAAACTTTAAAAATCCTTTACTAAAAAAAGTCCGAAAATGGCCGCGCGGACAATAATTTTCAAAACGCGAAAATTTTCCTTTAGGTCTCTGTTTGGAGCAAAAACAGAAGTTTTCCTGAAGATAAGCACACTAAATTATAGAGCTCATCGGGGACAATAATCAGGTAGTAGTAGTTACTTCCAAAAAAAATCAAACTTGAATTTATTTTGCTTTTTTTTTCAGAGAATAACTCCTAATTACCCTGTTCAGATATAATAGATGCTCTTTGCCGTCCTCTACGCATCGGACGTGTGCTGGTGAGTTTCTTTGCTGAAAATGGCTCTTGACAGTGCGTGCACATGACCCCATCTACATCTCACCACTGACTTGCACCGATTCGCAGGCCTGTATCTCGGCCAGCCGTCAATCTACGAGCCTGCAAGTAGGCTCATTCGAAAGAGCGTGACTTCCTCGACACGACGGTATGCAAAGCAGTTGAGTTTGTGAAGTCTCGAAGATTTTACGGATGGGGTGAAAAGCGCAGCTTCAGTTGTAGGGTAAGGATTTTTCAGCTAAAGTTGAACAGAGCTCCTTTCGCTACCAGTTCCATCTTGGAAGTTCACAACTGTTAATTTTCTTGTAATAGATCCATTTCGAAGCTCTAACACTGTTCTGATGTTGATAAAAGCTTTCACTCCAATCACCTTCGAGGCTGCGCTTTTCTTATCCCATCCGTAACATTTCCGGGTCTTCCTAAACTCAACTCATTTGCAAACAGTCGTGTCCAGGAAGTCACGCTCTTTTGAATGTGCCTATTTGCAGGCTCGTAGAGTGACTGCTGGCCGAGCTACAAGCCTGCAAAGCGGTTCAATTCAGTGGTGCGGTGCAGATGGAATCATGTGCGCACACTGCTAAGAGCCATTTTCAGCAAAGAAATCAGCAGCATACGTCCAATGCGTAGAGGATGGCAAAGAACACAATTTTATACGAACAGCTCTGATGGGATGTCTTAAATAGGTTTCCATATGAAGAATTTGGCTTGAAAACGGTAATTAGAAGTTGTTTTTTGAAAAAAAACAAAATAAAATTCAAATTTGGGTTTTTGGGAATAACCACTACCTGATTATTTCATTCGATGAGCTCTATGATATAGTATGCTTACTTGTTCGGAACACTTCTGTTTTGCTCTAAGAAAAGACCTAAAAGAAATTTTTCGCGTTCGAAGAATTAATGTCCGCGACATTGTGACGCGGCCATATTCGGACTTTCTTAGAAGAAGATTTCTAAAATTTTTAAAATACAAGTTTCCCAGAAAGCGCAATGTGTGGGTTGTAGCTCTTGAAGAGCTCTATCATCTCATGCAATCCTATCATTTTTTCATCTTTGTTTTCCATCCGAAAATGAGCGATGAAAAATGGAAGGCGGCTTCCGCAACTTTTTGGCGGTCACTGTACGAACACCGAACAATGTTTGGATTCAGCTCACGTAGAGGACCTATTGCCAAAAAAGTGTAAAATTTTCTCAGACGATGTCCCTAATGTTTGCTGAATTGTTGTACACTCAACGCTCTCACAAAACGTCCTAGCGGATTGCGCAAGATATGCTAACAAGGGAAGGATACTTGGTGACGGTGGCCATTTGTAGTGGGAAAAATACCACTAGATGCGTCTAAATGCCGTTTTCAAATCTACTTTCGCTATCTGCTAAGCATTCACTTGAGTTGTGTTATGAACGTTTTTTTTCAATTGATGTGCACTGTTTCAGTTATGCTAAGCTTTATGTATCGCCCAAACTTCTTGTTTCGTTCCTCGGAACAT